CCTCAAGGACATCCTCAGTGGCCTTCCAGTTCGCCTCTCGAACGGCGTCCATTAATGCCAAGTTGGCCAATCTAGTGGCCTCCTGATCGGCTAGTGTAGCCGCTTGCATCTCAGCTAATGCAGTCAGGACAGGATCCAGCTGATCCTCGTTCGTCTATCGGTTTCTCCTAGGCATTACCATGACTTTGCACAAGTTACACAAAGGATGAGTTGATCAGGCCCACGCAATGTGGTCACATATGCATCATCATAGCAAAACCCATTAGAGGAATCACACAAGACAGACTCGCAACAAGACATCCTAAGTTATTGCAAAACATACAGGCTTTTCCCTAGAAAGTGCTATGATACCATAAAATGTAACACCCCGTGTATACCCGGTTTGTTAACATGTCATCGTATTAAGCCACGCTTAATTAAAAATGCGGAATATCTTTTTCTTTTCAATTATGACGCCATTATCCTTACCAAGTTGAATTACTTAATTCATTTCCAAAACATTGCATGTATGTAAATTGCAAAAAACAGATATCTACACTGAATAACCTCATATATAATAAGTGAGTATCTAAGTCACGAAACTACAACACGAAGACCGGACATAATCCTGAGACATTATACAACTCAGATCTAAAGAAGGAAATTCAAGTCAATGTGGCATGGACAATCCCCATGCTCACCAAATAAGGCAACATAGCCCAACAAAGCATCTACATAGATAACAATAGAATAATAATATCCAGCATGACAGCATCCAAGCATATCAATATAAACAGCAATGTCTAAGTCAGTTCCGGCCTCCTGCCGCCCGAGGTCTTAACCCCCGAGTTAACTGAACCTGAAATATGTGCCCCAAACGTGGGGTGGGATCTCTAAACAAAAATCTCAGTAAGGCAAGGGGTCCTCAAGGATCTTCCACCCCAAGCACACTTACATGTGCAATATAAGTTCTAGAACAACAATCCAACAGTATAAGTTCCAAAAGTAGTGCAATGCAGCAGATAATCATGTCATGTGTGTTATAACTATTCTACTGATCAGAGAAGTGCAGGAATACGTCTATTACCCACACAGTACGCACCCATGTCGTACTTACCTACGGAATCACCCCATGGCTTACCGTCTAGGCAAAACACCACATACATATCATAAGCAATTGCACTTAACAGCTCCATAGCATTTCAATAATCAAAGCATGAAAACAACATCATGCATATAAACCATCCCCCCATGGAGTATGGTGGAACCAACAATGGCTAAACCGAGGACACGGAAGCTTACCTTGCAAGCTAACTATCCAAGCTAAGAGTCCACTAAGCTCAAAGTCCACACACAGCAGAATCACAATCTGTTTTCAACCAGCAATCATATCAACAACCATAATCCATAATCATATAACATAAAGACAACGCTTTTCCTTTTACGTTTCATGTCTTTAGGCTCCTCACAAAGTCATAAGCCCTTAATCACTTGATTCTGACTTAGATTAATTAATGCCGAAGTGCTCTTAGACCAATTATGGGTCCACAAACCCAAAATCACGTTCTGTATGAACAGTACCTTTCCTGTTCTCGAAAACCCAGAATATCCGGATATATGTCGGGGATCCGGATATGCATATCCGGATATCCATATTCGGATATCTACAGAGCCCATATCCGGATATCAATATCCGGATATCATATCCGAATATTTCGCGACAGGATGCAGTTTTTGCATTTTGTGAGATATCACTTCCAAGGTTGGGTTTTTAACCCATTACTACGTCCATGCATGCATTTTTATACTCTTTTAGGTTCATATATTGGTTGGTTACTTAAACAACTCATTAAACATGCCAAGACTCCACTTTTAACCATTAAAACTCATGATCAAAAGTGAGGGAACTTACCCAAGGTTCTAAAACAGAGCAACAATGGCTCTTGGAGCTCACCAATCAGCTTCTCATGTTCTTACTTTGAAGGTGCACGAAAATGGCACACCCAAGGTTGGTTCTTTACACAAAAGATGACTCTTTGGCACCACAAATGCCAAGCAAATGGTTCCTACACTCTCCAAACTCAGAGGCAGCAACCACAACCCCTCACACAGCAACCCTAACTCAGCAAGAAGGTTTCCCACCCACTCCCAATGCTTTATCTCACTCACACAAGGATGTTTGGTGAAGGAAGTATGAAGAAAAGCCCCTTGGAAGGTCAAGAAATGGTGGAGGAAGACAATAGCAGCAGCCATAAGAAGCAACCCACGTAGAAATGGCTGAGTATCAGCCTAGGGTTGTGTGCAACTCTCTATTTATAGCCGGTTTAAACTTAATCACATTGTATTAGCGCTAATTGCTACGCTTAACATTTTAATCCCAAACTTAGGATTCTAAACCTACTCATTTTTCTAAGATTTGTCATATTTTCATTTTATTTTTCGCAGCACCTTTCCGGTACGCGCTTTTACATAGCCAGTATCAGTTCTGGCACCAATTCTCATTATTTTGACCTGAAACTTGACATACTAGTCCTATAAATTATTCTAGTAATATATACACACTTTTTATAATTTTCCGGGATACTTCACTGGTACGCATTTATACGGTGGAACAAAACCGGTATCTGCACTTTTCGTCAGAAAAGCGACTTTCAGCATTCTTAATCACTTACCATAATTATTCAAGCCTTATCATAATTATTAGGGTCAATTATGGAGTTATTTCATAATTCTCATATTATTTAATTAATTTCCTTAATTAACGGTGCGAGTTCTTACACTCACTAGTTGAGATGTTTCATGAGTAACTGAAAATGATATAGGCCTTCTTTGGTCGTTTGAGCTTTTCAAGTCAACCTTAACAGTAATTTTTATCGCTAGTAACCCCATTTGAGCCTTAAGCCTATTTTTTTTATTAAATCTCATATGCAGCCCTTTCTGTTTTAATTGTTACAAACATTTTTGATATATGGATATGCATAGTTTCTAGATTAAGTGGATTAATTGTTAGAATACAAAAAAAAAGTACATAGGGGTAATGAGAAAAGGAAAAAGAAAAAGAAGGGGGATGAGAAAAAGAAAAAGAACGTGAATGGGAAAAAGAAAGAAAACTAAAAAAGTGGAATGAAAAAAAAAAGGAATATCAAATTCAGGGGGAACAAGTTTCATTTGAGTTTCAAAGTAAAAAAAAAAACCCTGTTTTTGAGTGTTAGTCATATGACACTGGAAACTTAGAAAAGTAGAAAAAGAAAAAGATATCTTCATGATGGAAAATAGTATTGAGAATATCAAAAGATAAGGTTTAGGGACTATACATAACTGTACTATCCCTTATTTATTTTATACCTACCCTGATACTATTTTATTTTTGTTCATATCCACCTATTACATTACAAGCTTTAAAGTCCTATTGATTTGGTAGCTTATGAAATATTCCAACACTAGAGTGGAGAGCAGTCATGAGGTACAAGCCTATGAAAAACTTAGAGAATAAGAAAAAAGAGTGATTCTAAACTTGAGTGCAAAAGTAAATTAATACGTTGTTATTGTATATGCTTTGGAATGTTTTCCTTTGTTGCCTTTCATCATTTTCTATATTCTCATTCTTCACTATTTTTTCACTATTGAGCTATTACTCCCTATTCATGCTACCTTGACAACTTTTCTTCCTTATCTTGAGTGTTTACTCTTCATCTTTTTTTTTTTTTTTTTTGATAACATACTCTTCATCTTTTCGATGATGCCAAAAGGGGGAAAATAGATGCCATATTTTGTGAATAATAATTTAGTTGTAGCTTAACAAAGTCAGGGGGAATAGTGTTCATGCAATCATCATTGAGCATTCATGTTATATCTGTAATGAATTAGTTTTTCTTAGTACATGGCATATATTGTTTGTCATCATCAAAAAGGGGGGAAATTTTGGATATTTGTTATACCCCAATTGTTTAATTGATTTAAAATATGTTTTGATGATTACAATCAATTTAATTTAATTTAATTGATAATATTTTATTGTCTTGAAATTACTAATGAACTGATTGTTTGAGATTTTAGAATAATATTTATTCTGATTTGAATTAGTATTCAAGATAATTGAAGATTGCATGAAGAATGGAGAAGATATGGAAGATATCATGAAGAGATAGAAAAGCATGGAATCAAGTAAAGATTAGGATATATTTTATCTTTTTAGATTTCATGTAAGAGAAATAAAATATTCTTTGCCAAAGATTTGATTAGGATTGTATTGCATAATAGATTAAGATATTATTATAAATAGGGCTCATTGCATATTATTTCATGGTGGATAAAATACAAGAGAGAGAAGATAGAAGAATATACAAGAAAGAAAAGAGAGAATTAGATTTTCAAGATTAGGATTCTTTCTTGTGAATCAATTGAAGAGCTTTCTCAAGAACATTCATTCATACATTCATCCTTTGGCAAAGTGAATATTTCTCCATAGGAATTCATATTACCTATATGCTTGAGGAAAAGAAGCACTGAGGTAAATACTTTAATTGTAATTTTTTTCTTGACCTTTTTGAAGGTCTGTACTGGAAAACTTGGATACCAGTTCTTATGCTGGGAAACTGGGATACCAGAATGTCTTTTTTTCTTGGATACTGAGAGTAACTTGAGAACCCTTGTGTGATAGGGTTTCGGAATCCTAAAGGGTTAGGATTTCGTACTGGGAAACTAGGATACCAGTTTAGGAATTTGTGTAAGGGGTAGACTAGAAAACTAAGATACTAGAGAACTCTTTGTACACAAGTTTCATAGCGTAGTTGCCCGTCGAATTTCTGTATTAAATTTTAGGGCCCGTGGTTTTTCTTCCCTTTTGGGTTTTCCACGTAAAATTATTATGTTAATATCTCTCTATCCTTATCTTGATTTATTGCTTTGAGTTAATTTTCAATTAGTGAATTATTTTTATAAAACTCAATTCACCCCTCCTCTTGAGTTCATCTGGGACCAACAGACGCGTGGAACACGGTGGCTACAGGAAGAAATACAGTATGGGACAGTATAATAACAGTCCCTTCACTGGTGAAATACTAAATCCTCCTTTCCCGAAGGATTTTGATTCAGTACGCTTGCCGAAATACGATGGAAGCCAGGATCCACAGGTCCTCATAGATGCTTTTGATACGAACATGTATATCCGAGGGATAAATGAGCCCCTCATATCTCGGATATTTTCCATAACTTTGACTGGGGCAGTGCAGACATGGTTTTCAACCCTCCCTGCCAATTCCATTGGATCTTTTGATAAATTTGGACAAACGTTCCTTCTGAATTTTGCAACCCCCAAAAAACATCCAAAATCCGAAATTCGCACTTGGCAAGATACGACAGCAACACGGAGAAACTCTCCGGAGATATCTTAATAGGTTTAAAGATGCTGCCTTGCAAGTGTTGGGTTTGCAAGAAAATGTCCATGTTCACTTCATTGTGGCTGGCCTTGATGGATCATCTAGACTGGCCAAGTCAGTATACAAAGACCATGTGAGAACATTGGAGGAGTTCAGAAATCGTTCCAAGAAATACTTGGAACTTGAACAAATGGAGATAGCAAATGCACTATCAGAGGAAGGAAAAAGAGCAAGCCCAAGAAGGAAGAGCCCAACCCCAAGAGAAAAGGATCGACCCGGTAATAAAAAGAAAGATTCCAGAGGCAGGAATCTGGATGATAGAGATCGGGTAGGAATATATGAAAAATATACACCGTTGAATGCCTCACGTTCTCAAATTTGGAGGAAAGTGGCAATGACAGAGATGAAGAAAGTAGATAGACCTCGGCCCATATTCGATATAGGAGGTTTGGATAAGTCCAAATAATGTGTCTACCATGATGGACCGGGTCACAACACTGATCAGTGCTGGGATCTCCGGGATGCTGTGGAGAAATTTGTTAGAGAAAGGAAACTACGCCAGTATGTGATCAAGACTCAGGGTTCTAGAAATAACAAGAGAAAGTCTGGAAACTGGAAGAGAAGTAAGAGTCCAGTACCTGAGAAGAAAAAGAAGGAAGAAAGGAACCAGAAAGATGATTCCAACAATGATGAATTCCCTGAAGCCGAGTTCGATTGCAATGTGATTAATGGAGCTCTTGGAGGAGAAGGGGATACTGTAAGTTCTAGCGGAAGTATCTAAAAGAGGTTCTTTCAATCCGGGATCGTCCCAAATTCAAGGAGGACCCCAGCAAACCAGACCCCCCTCTGCTCTATTTCACAAAAGAAGACATGCAAGGTGTTTTTCCAGGGCATGTGGATGGACTAGTCGTCACTGGAACTCTGGTAAATTACCGGGTTAAAAAGATCTTCATAGATACAAGAAGTAGTGCCGACATTATATTATGGGATGCCTTCAAGAAGTTGAACCTTGACGAGGAAGACCTCAAGCCTTCAATGGAGAAAATACACCTCCTAAAGGCTATATAGATCTCAGGTTAACTTTGGGAACAAAAGAAGCGTTCAACTCAGAACGGGTAAGGTTCATAGTGGCTGACTTCCCGTTAGAATACAATATCATTCTGGGGAGGCCAACCATACACAAACGGGACATGCTGGTTTCCACGAAATATCAAAAGATAAAGACGGTAAGAAGCAAGAACGAAGTCATTACCATCAGTGACAATCAAAAAGAATCCAGGGAATGCTACTTTGAAACAGTTAAAGGAAATGAAAGAAGACACCTGAGTCCATCCCGGATACGTCTGGGGGATAAAGCCGGTAAAAAGGCAATCCCTCATCATTCAGGAAAACCTGTCAACGTAGTTGAGCTGGATATGAGAGAAGAGGTGATCCCCAGGCCAGAACCCGATGGGGAATTGGAAGACCTTGTGCTGGGAAAAGAACCTGGTCAATTTACCCGAATTGGTAAGACCATAGATCCCCACATCAAGTAATAGTTAGTCAGGTTTCTTAAGAGCAACACAGATGTCTTTGCATGGAAGTCATAAGAAATTCCCGGCATAGATCTAACCTTTTGCTGTCACAAGTTGGCAGTTTATCCCGGATCAGTACCAGTTTCTCAAAAGAAAAGGAAGCTGGGGCCAGAAAGAAAACAAGTTCTGGAGTAACATGTGAAATAATTACTGGATGCCTGATTCATTCGTGAAATACAATATACAACCAGGCTCGCCAATGTAATCACGGTGAAAAAACCCAATGGAAAATGGAGAGTCTGCACTGATTACACGGATCTAAATAAAGTATGCCCAAAGAATTCTTACCATATGCCCAACATAGATCAGCTGGTAGATAATTCAGTTGGATTCCAATTATTATCCTTCATGGATGCTTACTCGGGTTATAACCAGATCCCGATGTATCCTGAAGATCAAGAAAAAAACTGCCTTTATTGCTAAAAAGGCCAATTACTGCTACAACATGATGTCGTTTGGGCTCAAAAACTCTGGGGCTATGTACCAGAGAATGATGAACAAAGTGTTTGAGGACCAACTGGGAAAGAATGTAGAAGTATACATTGATGATATGATCGTCAAGTCGTTCGACATTTTCAACTATGTCCGAGATCTGGAGCAGACGTTCCAAAAGTTGCGAAAATACCGCATTCGACTAAACCCGGTAAAATTTGTTTTTGGAGTTCCAGGAGGAAAATTTCTGGGTTTCATGTTAACCCATAGTGGAATTGAAGCAAACCCTGATAAGTGTAAAGCAATGCTTGATATGAAAGTACCCCAGAATAAGAAGGAGGTTCATCAATTGATTGGTAAGCTGGCCGCACTAACCTGGTTCTTACCCAAGTTTTCTAAAATTTCCCTCCCATTATTCAAATTACTAAAGAAAGAAGCTATGCAAGGCTGGAAGCCGGAATGTCAATCTGCGTTTGAAAAGGTCAAGAAATGCTTGGCAACCCCACCAGTGTTGTCTAAGCCAGAACCAGGAGATACTCTGATCCTGTACCTGGCTGTGGGGGAAGAAGCAATAAGTGTTGTCCTGATTAAGGAAACTAACAAAGGCCAAGAATCGATTTACTTCGTCAGTAGGGCCTTGTAAGGTCCTGAGTTAAGATATCAAAAACTAGAAAAAGTGGCTTTTGCCTTGCTGACTACGACAAGGAGACTGCGGACATATTTTCAGGGACACCAAATAGTAGTCCGAAGTAATCAACCTATATGACAGGTGTTGCATAAGCCAGATCTGGCAGGAAGAATGACTAACTGGGCAATTGAACTCTCTGAATACGACATAACGTATGAAAGTCGGAAGGCCATCAAATCTCAAGCTTTGGCCGACTTTATAATGGAGCTCACACCAGTTAGTCTGGAAGAAAAAGAAGCAGAGGATACTTGGAGGGTGTATGTAGATGGATCCTCCAATGATAAAGGAAGTGGAGTTAGGATAATACTTGAAAGTCCAGAAGGGGTGGCAATAGAACATTCCTTGAACCTAAGTTTCCCAACTTCAAACAACCAAGCAGAGTATGAAACTCTAATAGCCGGGTTGATGCAGGTTAAAGAACACGGAGCCAAAAAGGTTAAAATCTTTAGTGATTCCTATCTAGTGACTTCTCAGATAGAAGGAAAATATCAGGCCAAAGGTTCTCTGTTGATGAAATACTTGAACAAGGTTCGAGAAATGATGGCCGAGTTCGATAAGGTGAAAGTCACTCATATTCCTCGAGAGGAAAACAGCCGAGCTGACATCTTGTCTAAGTTGGCAAGTACAAAAAGTCCAGGGAACCACAAAACTGTGGTACAACAAAACAGAACAGAGCCGAGTTGCGTGATGATAATCACCTCGACAAATTACTAGAGGCAACCCATAGTGGCATACCTTGAGAGAGGGACATTGCTTGAGGACCAACTAGAGGTCAAGAAGCTGGTCCGAGATGCAACGCAATACACAATTGTGGATGACCAGCTATATAGAAAGGGGTTGCATATTCTTATGCTAAAATGCTTGAACTCGAAAGAAGTAGAATATGCGCTGACCGAGATACATGAAGGAATCAGTGGCCACCACATAGGGGATAAAGCTTTGGCTACAAAGGCCCTCCGAGCTGGCTACTACTGGCTAACTATAGAAGCAGACTCTAAAGAACATGTTAAGAAATGAGACAGTTGTCAGAAGCATGCCAGACTGATTCTTTCACCACAAGAAGAATTGGAATACATCTCGGCTCCATGGCCTTTTTTAGATGGGGGATGGATTTGCTGGGACCCTTCAAAGCTGCGGAGGGACAATTGAAGTTGCTAATTGTGGCCGTAGACTACTTCCCCAAGTGGATAGAAGAAGAATCGGTTACCACAATAACCTCGGCCAGGGTACAAAGGTTCTTTGAAAGGAACATTGTTTCCAGATTTGGAATACCAGCTGAGGTGGTAACTGATAATGGAACGCAATTTGCTGATAAAAGGTTCCAGGAGTTGATGAAAGACTTAAAGGTCAAACATCGCTTCGCATCTGTGGAACACCCACAGTCAAATGGGCAAGCTGAAGCTGCAAATAAGGTAATCATTGACGAGCTTAAGAAGCGAATGATAGATGCCAAAGAAAGCTGGGTTCATCAGTCATACTTTGTTTTGTGGAGATACCGAATGAGTACCCAGACAGCAATGAGGGAAACCCCTTTCAGATTGACATATGGATGTGAAGCCATGATTCCAGTGGAGATTGGAGAACCCTCTTGGAGGATAATGAATGCTATTAAGCAGAATGAACAAGAAAATAATAAACTGCTTACTGCTGAGTTGGATCTCGTTGATGAAGCTAGAGTCACAGCTCATTGCCTGGATATGATGACCAAACAGCTAATAGCAGCCAGATACAACAAAAAAAATGAGACCAAGAGTGTTTGAGAAAAATGACTTGGTACTTAGAAGAGCAGACATCGGCAACAAGAATGCGAGAGATGGAAAACTAGCTGCAAATTAGGAAGGTCCTTACCGAGTTAAAAAAAACTTGGTAAAGGAGCCTATGTCCTAGAAACAATAGAAGGCAAAGGAATCAAGAGAACCTGGAACGCGGATAAGTTGAAAATATATTACAGCTAAATCCGGCATCCACCTTCTGAAGATTTGAAATATTTCAATTTATTTGAAGTTTTCCTAGGTGAATTATTTTCCTTTCTTAGGGACCTGACTAAAGCCGAATATGCCGGCAACTTCATGTAGTTGACAATTTGATATCAATAAATGAAGAATTTTTTTTTTAAGATTTATTCTAATTCAGTTTTGATGCATCAATACACGTCCTGAGGTGCAAGCGCAATTTGTCATACTGACTCTGATCAAGTCGAAATGCTCCTTACCTCGGTCTAAGGACCTAAGGGGGACAAGTGACAATATTGCCTTTACCTTAGATAAAACTAGGTTATAAAATCCAGGTTAAGATGAAATGGTTAAGTCAATAAAGACAATAACTATCATCAATGCAGACTTGCCGAAATGGCTAAGTCAAAATAAACATGCGTCATGAAAAATGACAGAAAGCGAAATCCGTACAATTCTTTGACTTCGGCTAGGTCAATAAAATGAAACTCGTAAAATGCATGAGTTGAGGAAATAAAAGTTATTTGAGTTGTAAAAATAACCCGTCTCGGATGGGCGAAACTCCAATAAAGCTTAATATGGAACTCGTAAAATGAACGAGTTAAGAAAATAAAATATGTCCGAGTTGTAAAAATAACTCGTCACGGATGAGGAGCAACTCGAATAAGATTTGATATCCTTAATTGCCTAAGTCACAAACTTAGAAAACAAACATGCAAGTTCGTTCAGCAAAAGGATAAGTCCTTGGAAGTATTTAACAAGTGCTTCAGGCAACCCGAAAAGAAGACGAACCTCAATACTTAGCCAAATGCGTCCAAGTCGTTAAAGAAATATGCAATACAAAAATATCAACATATATAGCAAAAATATGAAGGCAAATAAGAACTTTAAAAAGGTTATGAAAGACCGGGAAGCACCACGACAATATTCAAGACAAATTAAAAAGTGACTCAAAAGCCCCAAATGAAAAAGGAAAAATTACAAGGGTAACCGGCATCCTGGACCTTCATTCAGCAGGGGTGGCAGGGGTCTCTTCTGGCGCCGAAGGAACCTCAGTGGGCTGAGTCCCCGGGATCTCTTTTGATGTTGCAGGAACCTCAGTGGACCGATTACCTGCCTCCTCACCCTCTTCGACGATGGTCCCTCCCCCCTCAGTATGAGTGACTGAGTCACCTACTGGAGATGCAGAAGGAGGTGGGATGATTTGGCCGTTTCTGACATAAGCACGAGCATTCAAGCCGGCCACATTCAAAGGAAGATCTGGATTAAGGACTTGGAGTTGGCTTAATGCATTATAGAAGGAACCGGTGATGGAATTTTCAAGTTCACCCCGGTAGAGATGGGCACTATCCTCAACTTCCTTCAACTTCTCCTCCAACTTCTCATACATAATCCGAAAGTCCTTCATCCTCAGGGAATCGG